ATCAATTGTCTAGATAAAATAGAAGTTGCATAATTATAGTACTTAGTGGAATTAAATTACAATCCCTGTGGGTTCGACATCCTAACTTTCATACTATATTACAAAACTTGACACCGTACACTTGCGGCATAAATTCACGTTATAGAAAACGCGTGACAGGAATTTCATCTGAATCCAACCCTCATTTCTTTTTCTAACCGGATGATTGTTCACCTGAATTGTCAGCCAATTGAGACCATGAGCAACTATAAAAATAAAAAAACTCAAAATCCCAAAAATCTCACAGCAGTAAAATCAATCTCTGTTCATGATTTTATCATTTTAAACCTAACTAGAGAGATTCTCAGTCGAAGATTTTTTTTTCCCAAATACAAGAGTTGCTAAGGGGAATTTACAAGCCCTGCTGCACATTGTGCCTCCATTTCCCACATAATAATTTGCATTTGCATGCCACCATATTCAATCCCATATTCTCAGCATGGAGTATAGGAACATGTTTTCACTCCCATGGGCCCTACAAGTTTTCATCTCAAGGCAGAACATATATTTTAGGTTGTAGTCAATATAAAGCATGTAACATCGGTGACTCTCTATGCTTCCACCCTTCTCTTGTCACTTACGTGTTTTCTCCTAAGCCCGTTATAAAAGTAATCAATAATCAGAGTTAACTCGAGTTCGCCCCTGCACCAGCATTGTAATTTCTTTTTTTCTCCATCTAATCAATAAACATATTTTTCTTTCACTTTCTGTTGTGCTTGCTTAGAGCTCTTTGTACTGCTTTCGACCAGATTTTTGGAATTGACAGATTGCAGTCCTACTGAGATTTGGCAGAATTAGTGTGATGGAAAGGACACACAGTGCCTCTTTTTGAGCTTTACAAAAGAGTAAGACACCAAGTATCACAAGGACTTAAAATGTTATGCCTCTGAAACTTGAAAATGAGATGCCCATCTTATGGATGAAGGCAACAAAGCAGGCACCGTAGGGAAACTTTTTACTTAGAGCATTTATCATAACCCAGATCAATGTTAAACCAGTTTGCCTTCTAAATTTAAATCACAACAACTGCACCTTGAGCCATATTATCATATCACTTTGTTTTCTAAGATTTTTCTGAGAGGCCATATATTAAGTTGATAAGTTGCCAATTAACTTGCGATCAATGATATCAACAATCTAAATTGCCAACAAAAATCATTATTGCAAATACAAGCTGACCAAACCAATAATTAATAAATAAAACTTCTAGAGTTTACAATCATAATTGTAGACCCTTGACCTTTCCACATAGGAATCAAACGTGATATAGTTCTAATGACTGCCCTGGGTCCGATGACTCCGATCATCAATTTAAATGAAAATAATTACACAAATTTTCTAGCTATATCGTTTGTTTTATCACAAATCCAACAGAACATATTAAAATAAATAAGATAAAAATACATCTAATAAAACTCAAATCTGATGTAAATAAAGAAATACTAGTATATGTAAATACGTATATATATTATATATTACTCACGAGTATGTTCCGACGAGGGGGCCGAGGAGGAGGGTGGCACTGATCCAATTCTCGGAGATCTTGTGGTGGATCTTACCGGGCAAATCCTTCCAGAGGCCCGGCATCACCTTCTGCTGAAACGGAGACAAGGCGTAAACCACGGCCTTCATTCTCACCGGCTGCTTCCCCATCACTCTCTCTGCTCTCTAGAATGGACAGTAGGGTTTCGTTGAAGAAAATACAGGGAAAATGCAAATGGCAGATAATTATGAAGATTGAAGAGAAATTTCAATCTGTAATGTTGGAGCTTTGGGCCGAAGTTCGTGGAGAGCTCAACTAGTCCAATGGGCTCCGGAAATTTATGGGATAACGTCAAAAGTCAAAACTACTCTCTTTGGAAAGCTAAAAATACTCTCCCATTAAAAATAAGTATTTTACATTTTTCCTTTTTTATTCTTTTTGAATATGTGGAAATTACATGGAGCCCTACAATTGGA